TCAACAACCAGCTCTATCCCCTCATTTTGTAATGACGAATCAACAGATGATTCTTTGCATGGACCAGATCTTGTTGATGTAGCACTAGAAGTAGGTGACAACACATTTGCCGAAGGTTTAGGTTCAGGAGATTCAACAGTGTTCACACCATCTTATGTGGGCACACGAGGAACTGATATGTCTTGAATTTCACATTCTTGAGAATATTCTGAAAAATCTTATGCATCACTAAACATAACATTAATGGATTCTAAGACTTTTTCTAAATGCATGTTATAGATCCTAAATGCACAACTATTGGAAGAATATCCAATTAAAATTCCTTCATCACTCCTAGCATCAAACTTACCTAGATTCTCTCTATCATTCAAGATGTAGCATTTGCATCCAAACACATGAAAATAAGAGATATCAAGTTTCTTACCTTTCCACGGTTCATAAAGAGTTTCAACAATACCTTTTCTAAGGTAAACTCTGTTGGAAATATGACATGCTGTGTTAATGGCTTCTGCCCAAAGTCTTATAGGAAGTGTTTTGGCATTAAGCATCACTTTAGCCATCTCTTGAAGCACTCTATTTTTCCTTTCCACAACACCATTCTATTGAGGTGTTTTGGTGTTGAAAATTCATGAAATATGCCCTACAATTTACAAAAGTTAGCAAAATCAGCATTCTCGAATTCCTTTCCATGGTTGCTCCTAATTCTCACATTTTTTGTAGCTTTAGAACTCTTCTCAACAAGCAACCTTGTGGCTAATTTCTGAAATGCATTGAAAGAATCAGTTTTTTCACACAAAAAATCAACCCAAGCATACCTTGAAAAATCATCAACACAAACAAACACATACCTCTTACCTCCCAAACTTTCAACTTGCATGGGACCCATTAGATCCATATGGAACAATTCCAAAACACATGAGGTATTGAGGTTTGACAAAGATTTATGAGATATTTTGGTTTGCTTACCTTGGTGACATGGACAACACACATTACCTTTTGGAAGTTCAAGCTTTGGTAGTCCTTTAACCACTTCCTTTTTTGATAGTCTTACCAAGTCCTTGAAGTTCATGTGACCGAGCTTCTCATGCCACAATTTAGTGGAGTCTACTTTAGAATTGAAATAGGACACACGGTTAGAAAGCAAGTAACAATTATCATTTGACCTTTTTCCCTCAAGTAGAGAAACACCTTTACCATTCAAGATTTGACACTTGTTCTTTGAGAATTGAACCACAAAATCTTTGTCACATATTTGACTAATACTAAACAAATTGGCTTTCAAACCATCAACAAGTAAAACATTTTTCAAGACTGGAAAATCAAGAAGCACAATTGATCTTTTGCCAAGAATTTTACCTTTCTTTCCATCTCCATAAGTGACATGTTCACTATCAATGGATTCAAGTACAGTCAAGAGAGATTTATTACCTGTCATATGCCTTGAACAACCACTGTCTAGATACCAAAGATCATTTTGAAATGCAAGCAAAGAAGTATAAGACAAAAAACAGCTCACCGCAACCTTAGGTTTCAAAGCTTTCTTAAAAGGAAGACCATTATTAGCATTATGATTTAAACTAGCAACAAAACAATGGTTTTTAAAAACTTTCTTCAAATAAGAAATGAATTTGAAGCATTTGGGTCTAATGTGACTTTTCTTGTTACAAAAATGACAAATAGGGATGAATTTTGATACCTTTGTAACTTGTCTCACAGCAGTTCCTTCAACAGGAATTTCGGTGGCTTTCACAAACATGTTAGCACTAGCTTGCAATGTGCTAGCACTAGAACTGAAACTCAAACCACATCGATTTCTGAAGGTTTTTCCTTGACCAAGCATTTCATCAAGCTGAAGATAACCTGGATTTAGCTTATCAATAATGGCCTTAGCCTCAATCAGTTCAGTAGTAAGCACAACAATTTTTTCGGACAAGACTTTCTTTTGTTTCAACAAGGAGGCATTCTCAATACCAATAGATTGCAATTTTTTCACAGACTTTAGCCATTGGTCAGACATTTTATCATATGCTTCTTGTTGCTCAGCATACATATCTTTAGTGCCATCTGAAACTTCACTCTTACCATTTTCTTGATTCACAATGAAGGCTAAAACATTCTTATCATCACCCAAGTCATCATTATCACTCTCATTATGCTCAATCTCACTAAAAGTGGCAGCCATGGCTTTACCTTTCTTCTTTTTTAGTGTGTTAGCACACTTAGGTTGTATGTGCCCAAAACCCTCACATTCAAAACACTTGATACCTTTATTTTTCTTTTTTTTATCTTTTGAAAATTTCTTTGCAAAGATACCAGGGTTTTGGTGGTCATAAGGCTTTTTCACAAAAGGTTTTCAGCCATAACCACTATTATGAGGCTTTTTCATGTTTTCTTTAAAAATTTTGAAAAATTCTTTGTAAGTAAAGCACAATTCTCATCATCCAAAGCGCTCAAATCACAATCATCAAAAGGATCAAAATAAACCTCATGTTTGAGAGCCAAACCTTTGTTCAGTTTTTGTTTTTCCCATCATTGCAGATTCAACTCATAAGTTTGGAGAGAGCCAATGAGTTCATTGATGTCCATAGCATCCATATCTTGGCATTCTTCAATGGTAGTAACCTTTGACATAAATCTCCGGGGCAAGGAGCAAAGTACTTTCCTGACAAGTTCAGCATTAGTATATGTTCTTCCCAAAGAAAAACATTTATTACAGATATCAGACACTCTACCATAAAAATCAAATATAGTCTCATCCTCTTCCATGATCAAATTTTCAAAATTAGTGACAAGTCTTCTAAGCCTATTTCGTTTCACGGTACTAGTTCTCTCATTGACTTGAAGCCTATCCCAAGCATCTTTAGCAAGCTCACAATTAGTTATGACTTTCATTTGGTTCACATTAATAGCATTAAAAAGAGCATGAAGAGCTTTAGAGTTATAATTTGCCAAAGTTATTTCATCAGTAGTCCAACTAGCAACAGGTTTTGGTCTAGACACTTCATTTTCGACTATAACTAAAGCAATCCAACCATTCACAACCGTGGACTAGACTCTTTCATCTATAGACTTAAGGCAGGCATGCATCCTTGGTCTCCATGTGTACTAGTTAGGTCCTTCTAACAGAGGAGGTCTATGAGCAGATCCACCTTCAGTGAAGAAGCTCATGGTGAAAAGCAATTAGACAGATGCTAAAACAACAAATGATAGTGCACACACAGACACACAATAGATCTGAAATAAAAATGCAACACAGACCAGATTTCAACCAACAACCAGATCACTCAGATGCACACAAAAACAAGTAAAATGGGTAAGGATCTACTGAAGCAACTTATCAGAATAGGCTCTGATACCATTTGTAGGGAATACAGTTAACACATTTTGGCGTTTAAGTACCCATTTTAAGGTGTAGCGGAAAATTACCAAGTTGATTAAGCAATTCCAATTTAGACACATCAAACATAAGTGTGGAAAGTAAAGAACACATCCATATACATGGTTCAGCTAAATCCACTTTTAGCCTACATCCATAAGACCTAGTCCAGATCAAAGCAATCCACTAAGTCAAAAACACATTATAAGATATAGTTCAAAGCTAATCTAAGTTATAGTAAAAAGAACTCCCTATTCAACTTGACACTTAGCACACACTCCCCCCAATGGCAGAGCCATAGAGCCCGCACCCCCCCAAAGCAAAAATCCTGGATCTACCACTGCTTTGAGAGTAATTTATATTTTGTTTACATCCCTTCACTATGTGTATATTTTCTCTTTTTTCAATAAAATTTCTTAATAGTATCCAAGATTTGATCATAATATTTTTTTATTTACTATTAAAAAAGTGCTTTACTTGGGAAGAAAATAGTTTATTCAGCCATAAGATTAGAGTGATATTATTTACCTCAATTTGGATGCGTTTGGTTAGGAGTCTAGGAAGATTACTCAAGTAATCTATCTTTGATTCCGAACATTCTTTTGTTTGGTTGTCAAGTAATAAAAGATTTTGATAATCTTCTAATACAATAGTAATTACTGTTGGTGATAAGGAGGTGTTATTCTTTTATTACCGGGGTAATCTAAATTTTGTTCCCGTTTTACCCTTAATTAATAAACATTTCAAACACAAATAATGTCATATGTCTACCAAATAACAATTAGTTCAACTGTGTGAAATAACTTCTGTAACCTCATAAATTAATTTTTTGGACAGAAATGCCCCACAATACATGTTACCATTTTACCCCTAAATAATTAATTTTTTGGGCAATAATGCCCTTATTATGAAAATTATTTACATGAATACCACGCAAAACACCCCAGCCACCCAAGATGACTGCCAACCTTCAGCCACTACCACTGGCCACTACTGGTAGTCACTGGAACAACGCACGATCAATTGGATCTAGTCAGTCGTACACCGATCTAGCCATTTCTAACCCGATTCATGAAAATAGAATTGAAACAAAATTGATAAAAGATGCATCAAAAATTAATTTAAAATAAAATTTTATAATCTAGATAAAAGATATTTTTTTTTTAAATAATTATATATCTTAGATGTAGCTATTATTTTTTGGTTATCCTATTTAATAATTTTAAGGGATGATAAAATTGGAATTATAAAAAACATCTAAAACAATAAAAAGTGGAGGACCAATAGCATCACTCATAACATAAATTTCTAAATATATCTGGAGTATCATCTTACAATTTTTTAAACATATTTATCACTTAAATGAAAAGTTTCCACGTTGCGGCCCGTCACACTAACTATAAATCAATTGCAGGCCATAACTTGGACATAATTAAGTACAATATGACACTTAAATGTACATAAATCTAATTTCATATTAATTTTAATAACACACATTCAAACTCATATTAATTATTTTATAATATATTAAATGTAGAATCAAATCAAGTACAAAAAGAAATCTCACTAAAAGTAAAGAAAACAAGAAAAAAGAAAAACAACTGCAGTATATATAATTATATATATATCCAATAAGAGTAAAAGCTCTGCAAATTTCTTCAACAAAATATTAATCAGATTCTTGATGGCGATCGCATGATATATGGATCGATTTAGAGGTTGCTGAAAGATGAAATGAGATTATTTAATATCCCAATTGCACGTTGCTTCAACAGCTACCAGTCTCCCCATTAATTCCTAGAAACTAATTAAAGAAGGAATTAATAATAAATGAGAGATGTTTTAGGAGCCGCAACGGCAAACCTAAACTTAGGATCAAAAGTTTGAGCTATAGAACTCAATTAATTAATTAATTCAACTACATTTTCATGCTATTAATTCAAGTGAAACCTGGTTGAGCTGAAGAAGAGCGCGCCATTGGAAAGGAATTCGTGAGATCGAGAATGATTCCTTTGGAAGGATCATTAGGGTTTACGTTTCGATAATTTGATGGATGTTAAAAATTAGGGTTCATGAAAGAACTGTGATAATGAAGAGAATTTTGGGTGAAATTTGGAGTGTTAATGGCATCTGAACTGAGAGGATTACTTGAATCCAGTAACATAAAGGAGGCTGTTGTTGAAGCTGTTGAAGCCATGGCAGTTGCACCAACTGGAAGAGGATGATTGTGTGTTCCTTCGTAGGTTGTAATCAGAATCGACATGTCCTCTAAGCATCGTTGCACCTAATTACATTCAAACAGCAAACACACTTAAATGAATTGAAAATGTTTTTCTTTTTCATTCTAATATTTTAGTATTTGAAATTGTGTTTGACATAATATTCAAAAACTATTTTCAAATAAAAAAACTATAAAAACATGTGGAAGCAAATTTTAACTGCTTTTGATTTTACATTAGTTTTAAAGATTGTATCTGAAAATTGTTTTCAACAGCATTTTGAACCATTTCTATCACATACAGTTTTATAAGATTTTTTGTATCCCTTGTTTCCGAAAACAAAAAATTATATTTAAATTATATATCAAATAGGTATCTTTTAGCGTTTATTGATACAGATAAAAATTTACCTGTTTTCTTGCGGGGCATCCCGGAGCTACTGTGCAACGATAGTAGGCACGTGGGCAAGGATTTCCTTTGGCAATTTTTTGCCCATATTTTCTCCATTGGCATCCATCATTGATCTGCAATTAACCAAACTCAAACTCAGAATTTAATTACCTAATCAGGGTTGATGATATTATATAATACAAAGTTGAAGTAAATATGATGAACTCACGGTTGCTCCTTTGCATCTTGCTCGAACTGAAACCCTAGCTTTTCTGTTTGGTGGCAAAGAAACATGGCTTGTAATTCCTGATAATTCTCCCCGTTGAAACTTATTGTTCTTTTGAAGCGATGGAAAGCTTGTGGCTGCAGCTTCTTCCTTATAAATATTCTCTTCTTTTTCTTCCTTTCTTTCAATCTGATTCAACCTCAACGATAACCCTAGTTCTTGATTTTTCATATCTAAATCTTTTGAGCCCATCTTTGTAATTTCTTGTTCGTTATCATGAAGTGAAAAAAATATTTGTGGATCCTAAACAAGAAAACATAAATATAAATTTATATACATTAAAATGATCTAATGAGTGAATTAAATTGAAATTACCTTGTCTTGGGTAGTACTTTGTTGAATAACTAAGAATTTCATTTGAAGATCATAGTAATCTTTCTTTGTTTGCTCTACTATATTTTTCAACACTTTGTTTTCTTCCTTCATGCGATTCATCTCCTTTTGCAATACACGTAACTAAAGCACAAATACGAAATTATTATAAAGTTATATATATGAATTATTATCATAGGTTATAATTTTAAAAGTATAATTAAACATACCTGTTCTGTCCTGTTATTGTTTCCCTTCAAGCTTAATTCAGCTGATAAATCTTCTTCTTCTTTTTTGTCTTGAGATTCGACTTGAATATATACTTGTTCTTCTTCATTTTCTTGATCACCCTCTGGTAGTTTTTGATGATTTTGATGTTGTTCTTCTGCTTTGAGAGAAAGATCAATGTCCATTAATGGAGTTTCTTCTTGATCTCTTTTATGAGGATCCATTATTGAAAGAAACAAGAAGAAGAATCTCTTAATATTAATGGTGCTTTTGAGAAGCCAAAGTCAATTCCCTCATCTCAAAGACGTAGTACTAGACACACTAGGACGCATCTAAAGTTTTGACTTCAATTTAATCCTTATTTAATTAACCCCAAAATTAATTTAATACTACAAGAATCAAATTCCATTTTTATATAGATTGCTTGCTTCCATAAATCTATATATATTTTATATTTAATTATTCATTTGATCCCCACTTCATTAGTGAAGACTATTGTTACCCCTAAGACACTGTTTCTATATATAACAGATATAATAAGGAATTCTATTGCCTTTTATTCTTATTGCCCTTAATTAAAGGATCAAATCCATTTTTTTTTTAAAAAAAAAAAAAATTAATAGAAGCTATTAATTTTCCTCTCATAAACAATTTCCAACTGTATGAATGTAACATAAATGTAGGGTTGGGACTGTTTGCCCTACTGCCCCCATTTTTATTAACATAATTTAATTACTATAAACTCAAATTAAATTAATAATGATCTCCTTCAAAGTATGTACCAAAAGGAGATAGGATTTTTAATTTTAGAGGTTAGACATGTTACTTTAGTGTATGACATCTAACCAACTAATTAATCAAAATTATCCCTCTCAAAAACCTGTATAATTATATTAAATTTTAAGCAAAGCCATGAAACTATGAATTGAACATGAAAGTTACACTCCCATATTTAGGGTAGTTATTAATGTTAATCAAATTGTCAAATTTTCTATGAGTATCTATTATTTATAGAAGGGATTAATTTCATTCGTCTCGTAAGATAAATAAAAAAGTCTAAAATATCTCAACAATTCTGAGAAAGTACTGTATTAAATATCCTTTTGAAATTACAAAAACTCTCTAAAAGATATCAACAAATTCTCTAAAATATATCAAAATCTTTTTTAAATAAAAAGACTTAACCATCTAAAATCTAGACGAATTTAATTAACCTTTTAACCCTTAAAATAAAATGACTCATTTGAGTAGTTTCAAACCAATTAATAATAAAATTATAATAGAAGGATTTAATAAAGAAAATATATAGTCCTGACAACATCTTCTCCTATAGAACATGAACTTTGGGATCAAATCTTGAAATCGTCAACTACAAGGCCTCTCTTTATTAATCCATCCTTCATTAATTATTTCATCCCTTGTTTGCTTCAATTGAACGGTGTGTTATTTTATTCTTATTATTTTGTTTCTCCTTTCATTGTTAGGAGTACGGAGAGTAGAGAAATTAAAAGTTATAGGTTTTTTGTCCATCAGGAATCATGTATATAAATTTGATAAGACAAGGAGGTAAGGGTGCAATTCTCCATAATAATGGCATTAAATAAATTAATATAAGAAATGAGAGCACGCAAGGACCTGGGAGGAAGGGACGCCGCATCTATTTCTAGTTACGTTGACCCTTTCTTTCTTAATGGATTTCTAACTCTCTCTTTCTCTTTCAAGATCCATCCATCCTACTGTCAACTAATTTTATTATAAATATAAACATGATCTTGTTACCAAATAAACCCGTAACTAGCCGACACATGTAAAGATTCTTGCTAGACACACGGATGTATTTGTTTCACTATTTCAAATCCTATCCTATACAATCTTATTCAAAATACATATTTGTTTTAATATTCTCAAAATCCAATCATATTCTATTCAACTCAAAATATTTAAATTCTTTTAACCCCCTAGGTTGGTTAATTTAACTAAACACCCTCAACAATAAAAGTTTATAAATTAACAAAAACACCCCCACCCACCTACATATTCCCGACAACCGACTACCACCGTTAGAAGGTGGCCGAAATCTATCGGAATGGCGCACGACTGACTAGATGTGGCCGATCATGCGCTGATCTAGCCTTTTCAGCCAAATCCACCATGGATCTGGCCAAAAAATGTCAGATCTATAGCCAAAGATCTGGCCGTTGACAACTAAACGACGGCCAAGATATGGTCGTCATCAACGGCTAGATCATTGGCCGTAGAGCTGGCCAGAAAAGACCAGATCAGCGCACTACTAACCAAATCCAGCCAGTCATGCACCATTCTTACAACATATGGCCATTGTCCGGCAGTGGTGGCCAGCTACCAACATTTAATGGGTGGGTGGGGATGTTTTTGTTAATTTTAAAATTTTTATTGTGGAGGGTGTTTAGCTAAATTAACAAATGTAGAGGATTAACAAATAATCTAAATGTTTTCCAAAAATGTTTTCCAAAAATTTACCAAACAAATTTTCAAATTCAAATCCTATTCTCGTAATAACAACCCAACTCAACGGCTTCGTTTGGTTCACAATTGGGTGTTTTTGGGAAAAGTTTTCTGAAAAAAGTTGAATTGTACGGGTATTACGATGTAGGATTTATAAATTAATAAAATACCCCCTATATTTATTTATTTACAAAACACCCCCTATAATAAAATCTTAAAGTTAACAAAAACACCCCCAACCCAATGTCAAATATGGACAGCCGGCCACCACCGCTGGAGGGTGGCCGGGTTCACCGTATTGGCGCATGACCGGCTAGATCTTGCTGGTCGTGCGTCGATATGGCCTTTGCCGGCCAGATCCACAGTGGATCTGGCCGACNGAATTGTAAAATTATACCCTTGATCTTGGCTCATGTAAACGATCCTGTTATATTAATTTTTGTTTCCGCTGCATATACGGGACCGTTTACTAACAGGGAGAAGAGCTAAATGAAACTATAGCAATGTTGGATGAGCTTCCAAAGAAAAATCCAAGGTATGAAATCTCCTATATTTCTCTTCCCATATCTAATGAGAAACTTTTACCTTCCATTGTGCAGGCCCCTACCTTGGAGCTTAAGCTTTTACTAAGTCATGTCAAGTATTTATACTCAGGAGAAGGAGACACAATGTCCGTGATTGTAGCGGCCAACCTTTCAAAGGTGCAAGAAGAATGTTGAGAGAGTACAAAACGACAATTGGTTGGACGATTGCTGACATTAAAGGAATAAGTCCTTCCATGTGCATGCACCGCATATTATTAGAGGAAGGATCAAAGCTTACAAGAGAAGCGCAAAGACGGTTGAATCCACCAATGATGGAAGTAGTGAAGAAAAAAATAATCAAGTTGTTAGATGTTGGTGTGATCTACCCGATTTCGAACAGTAAATGGGTTAGTCCGATCCAAGTAGTTCCTAAGAAATCCGGAATAACCGTGGTAAAGAATGAAGATAATGACTTAGTTCCCACTCGCATTCAAACGAGATGGCGAGTATGCATAGACCACCGCAAGCTCAATGCCACAACACGCAAAGATCATTTTCCTCTTCCATTTATCGATCAAATGCTTGAACGTTTAGCTGGCCATTCTCACTATTGTTTTCTTAATGGATAAAGAACCTTGAACCTTTAAGAGAAATAATACTCTAAGAAATTCAGAGAACAAAATGAAACAAATGTCCAAAAAGGTTAGAGAAGAAGAAATATATAATGAAGAGTTTCTTGCTCTACAATGAAGTGCCACATCAGCTAACAAGGGGTTGACCCATTGTTTGTCCAAATAAGGAAAGTATTCCTTCTTTTGGTTTAGACCACAAAGCAAATCGGGAAAGATTACTTTATTCCCTAGGACCACCTAAGCATTTTGTGACATATGTAAAAAGGTCCTAAAAAGTAAGAGACAAAGATAAACAATATCTTTTCTACTTTATCAGACATGCAACTCGTGTTGAGTTGCAAAAAATCTGAAGCAAAAGTGTAAACACAGATCGTTGTTCACACACACACAAAATGAAACAAGCCAAGACACAAGTCTGGAAAACAGTGTGCACTGAGAACTGGTGTGCACACACACAACAGATGCAACAAGCCAAATAAGAAAATTGGCAACCAGTGTGCATACATAACTGTTGTGCACACACACAACTCATAAGTTTAACAAAAATGAATATTCCACATTCTCCCCCTTTGTCAAACTTATGAACAAAGAACATAATTAAAGAGATCAAGTGCAAACCTGTTTAAATCAACCATTTAAGACCTACAGATTTTCACAAACAAACATGCAAGCAAACTAACCAAAGTAACACATATGAAAACACATGGTTAGTACAAAAAACAAATAACCAAAATAAAGTAGCTAAGAAGTTCAACAAAAATAGAAAAAAAATATCAACCAAAGCAAAAAAATCTCCCATGGAGAGATAATCACAAAGAAAAAACTCCCCCATGAACTCCCCCATGCTTCTTACTCCCTCTCTTTGTTCACAAGTCTTGAAGATTTTCGAGAGGATTGAGAAGAACAGCCAGCTTTTCTCTTGGTTCTGTGTTTCGAAGGGGCTGTGGTAGTGACATGTGAGTCCTCCTCTTGAATTTTTGGGATTGCAGCAGGAGAGGTGTCAACAGCTTCATCTTGACTTGAAGGAGCATCATCAGTGCGCACATGGGCATCTGTTGGAGCAACTGCATCTTTATCAGCAGGTTCTTGATCATCTTCATCTTCAGCTGCTTCTTCTTCTTCCTCAGCAATAGTCTGTTCTTCTTCAACTTGAACTCCAAGAGAATCATCATCATCAGGCACGACAGGAGTAGGAGGTGGCACATTTTGATCAGTTGGTTCTGTTTGAACAGTCTTCTTTTTCTTCTTCTGCTTTTTCTTCAGATCAGCCTCTATTTCGTCTATCCGAGAGCAAAGAGAAGTGTGAATTTCCTTCACATATTGAAGGACAGACTCCATTGATGTCTCCAAGTCCTGCATGGCAACAAAAAGCTTGGACTGCCAAGTGTTAGTCCTAGTTTGATCAATTGAGGAAGATGGTGGCAAGTTCCCTGTAGGCTGTCTAAACGACTTCTTGGTGACAATCTTTATCTTCAAAACAGGTTCCAATTCATAGGATTTTGGCTTATAAGTGGAAATGATCTTTGTAACGCCCCACTGGAGGTACGTAGCTAATGTTTCTTATTTTTGCTCTTATTTGAGTCGGTTTATTATTAATATTGGTTGGTTGGCCTTTGGTTGTATTGATATGTTGAGTAATTGCA